TGGTTAGATTTAGGGTTAGGTGTGTGCTGGTAATGGTTAGATTTAGGGTTAGGTGTGTACTGGTAATGGTTAGATTTAGGGTTAGGTGTACTGGTAATGGTTAGATTTAGGGTTAGGTGTGTACTGGTAATGGTTAGGTTAAGGATAAAGGTCATGGTTAGGCTATAGAAATGAATGAAAAATGAATGGAAGTCAATGCAAAGGCCCCATAAAGATAGCAAAACAAACCTGTGTGTGTGTGTATATGTGATTTTTGTGACCTTTACAACCCTTCCTGGTATAAATCACCTAGCTTGTCAGCCTGGTCGTGTGGGGAACAAAGCTTGGTAGAATACAGTGGAAGCTTATTTTTGAGTGAGGGAGAAGTGGAACTTTGAGCAGCCCAGCTGAGACGGCCCTCAGGTACACTTTTGGCTCTGTAACTGTTCTCTTGATTTATTACTTTAATATGCAGTGGAATTATAACAAAGTACAACACAAAACAGGCAAAGAGAAAGAAAAGAGGGAACCTCCTCTCTCAGTGGACAGCATTGTTCCCAGCCTGAGTCCAATCCAGAATCAAATAAAGGTCCAGCACTCTTTGAAGGAATCCCACCCACATTCAGGCCAGAATTTTAGTCTTTAAAATAACCATGTGTGCGACATGATGCGATACGTGATGTCCCGATTGCTCTTGTGCTATAAATGATTCAGCCACACCAAGTCAGAGCACAACATCCGTACAACTGATTACGTTTGAGACATTTGTGACTTCTACTGTCAGAAGTCTGGAATGAACGTCTTAAATCGGGTTGTCTCCAAACGCACAGCATGTGCAGAGGCACATCTGGTCATTTAAAAACTGCACAATGATTCATGAGATATTTTCCAACAGACAGACTTGACTCAATAAGTTGGTAGCAAAATTTTAAAGAAGGAACTTGTGCAACATTTAAGTGCTCAGAATATGTGTTGGGGTTCAGTGCCAGCTACAACCACTCCAGATGTATGTTTGTGTAGATGTCCGTACAACTGACTGACTTATCTTCGTCTAACCCTCATCAATAACTACTCACTGGAAGTTTGATTATAATTTCTTAAGTGGTTCATTTGGCCAACAAACACACACTCATGTGCACACAGACAAAGGAAAACATTATTCTTTGTCTCTTGCAGTTCCTGTGCATGATGTGAGCCAGGCATCAAATGGACATTTCCTCTGATCTTTCATGGTTATTATTTGGGAGTGTTTTGTGCATGGATGCTACATTTTTCCAGGATGTCATCTTTAAATTTATGCAAAAAAGTAAAAACAAGTAAAGTTCTTGATCTGACAAAAAGAGTGTGTATAATGCATTAAAACTTGGACAGAAGAAGGCACAGCAGAGTGTGTGTGAGGAGAGCCCTGTTCCTCCACAGCAACCCAGAGGGCAGTGATGATACGCTGCAGCCTGCAAGGGATTGTGGGGGAAAGGCTGGCTGCTGATAGGCTACTCTCCAGAGACAAAAAAAAAATCCTTCTCCCTCCTTTCTTCATTTCTTCTCCCAGGCTCCCTTTCACCTGGCCAGGTTACCATGCCAACCAGCATCGGACAGTCTCTCGTCTCCTCCCCCTTCTGCTTCCTGCTTCTCCCAGGGAAAAAGGGCCATTTCTAGTCGCCAGGAATAGAAAATGGACCTGCCATTGATTTTCACTGGAGGATGATGATTGCACAATCACGCCCTGAATGTCGCAATGCAGAAATAAAAGACAAGACACAAAACAAATATGTTGAACACATTCAACTGCTGCTGTTAGAAATGTGGCAAAATGAGCCAAATGGGAAAGTCAGGATAATGAGAAGACATAATTATAGGTGAACGGCTAACTCAGGGTGAGGCTATTCATGTGCAGTCGAAGAGGGTAAAAGGATTACAGTTACTTCTGCATCATCTCAGTTGGATTAATTATTATTAGCAACAAAACGACAGAATCACCGTCACTGCAGCAGATTCCTGTAATTTTATATTTAGGGACGTGGTTGGTGGCACTGCTGTTCCTAAAACTGTCTCCATGTTTGTGTTCAACTCAGAAATGTACATTTCATTAAAAATATATTGGATTATTTGTTTAGGGGCAGAAGTTAAGGGATTATTTCTTTAGCAGTAATAATACTCAGAATCAACTCAGAAACTTATTTGGACGTAAAAAATAAAGTACAACAGTTTCACTTGTAAACATTTTATATTTTGTGTTTGTTTTTTACTATTAAATAAAATATGTTTCCATGTTGGCTGGCACAGTGGCTCAGTTAGTAAAGCTTTTGCCTCCGAGCGAGAAGGTTGTCGGATCGAATCCCGGAGAGGGATCTTTCTGTTTGGAGTTTGCATGTTTTCTGCGTGCTGAGTGGGTTTTCTCCAGGTACTCCGAGGGAGTAGGGCTGGAAAGAGGGAGGGAGGGAGGGAGGGATGGATTGAGGAAGGGATGGATGCATGAGTGAGGGATGGATGGAGTGAGTGAGTGAGTGAGTGAGTGAGTGAGGGAGGGAGGGAGGGAGGGAGGGATGAATGGAGTGAAGGACGGATGGATGGAGGGGTGGATGGATGGATGGATGGATAGATGGAGTGAGGGTGGGAGAAATCGAGGGATGATGGAGTGAGGGAGGGATGGATGGAGGGGTGGATGGATGGATGAATAGATGGATGGAGTGAGGGCTGGATGATAGATGGATGGATGGAAAGAGGGAGGGATGGATGGAGGGGTGGATGGATGGATGGAGTGAGGGAGGGATGGATGGATGGATGGATGGATGGAGGGAGGGATGGATGGATGGAGGGGTGGATGGATGAATGGAGGGAGGGAGGGATGGATGGATGGATGGATGGATGGATGGATGGATGGAGTGAGGGATAG